GCCCGGAACACACCAAGCCAATGGTCGGCCGTCGGGCAGGTTTTGTGCGTCGGCCAACTAAGTTTCCTCGGTGTGATATGCACGGTTCCGTGTCGTCGGCTGAAAATATTCCTCGTCGGCTTTGTTTCGCCCAATTTGACATGTTGAATCAGCGTTGGGCCGTGAAGGAAAGAGAGAACTCTGATTGGCTGTTCAGCTTAGTGAATGAGTCATAAAAGAGAATAAAAGCAAAACAGCAAGCAAAGACGTCAAAACGTAAAGATAGAAGGCTGTTCTTATGTTATGTCTTCTTACCTGAGTGTTCCTTGGTGAGTATTTCAATATTAACATGGACAGAGTGGAATAAAGAAAGTGTTTAGCAGGACTGATATTCAAAACGGTAAGCACGCACTGCTTTGTTTACAGTATGTGTATCTGCAGCCGGCAGCGTCGGTTTTCCTTTTTGAATGACGAATATAGACTAATATATCTGCAGAAATGGACAGTTGGCTCATTACACGCAGGCGCAGAACGCACATTCTAGCTGACAGTTGCCTGTAGTTCTCTCGGTGTGTTCAAGTGCAGCTTTTTACCCCAACGAAAGAGGACGAGAGGCGACAACACAGTCGCTAGTTCAACCGTTGGCTAGTTCGTCAGCGTCGGCTTGGTGTGTTCCGGGCTTTACAGAGTTCAAGGTGAGGCACACGCTTACAGAGTTCCTCGTCCGTATTGTGATGCTTATTTCGTCACTTACTACAAGTTGTTACCCTGCCCAGGGGCATTCCTTTGGTCAACAGAATCAGGTTTCACAGGTAATCAGGGCCTTAACGCACAATGGCGCTCTCGACGTATGCTTAAATGTTGTATGGCTTGCATAATGCTACCGACCGTCGAGTGCCGGAACCCACGCACAAAGGTGACCCAGCCATACTATCCCAATCGAGGCAATGAGCCCCATCAGTCTCAATACTGTAAGAATAAAACATGTGAACCTTCCCAGTCAATACTGAGCCAGACAGCTGTGAAAATCCTCTGCCCTCTGTTCAGCTCTGAATCCATCTCTAGACCGAGATATTACATCCGCTGACTCTAGGCCAGCGAGCCCCTTTTGAGATTTATCAGGAATCCCAGAGCTCGTAAATGTAAAACAAGTACATGTGTTTGTAACTGGTTGTCCCCTGCTGTCTTCACCCATGAGCAGTTCGGGCCAAATAGGCGAACAATCTTATACTCTAATGGCACAGCAGAGCCAACATCGCTTCTAAACATCTTGCAGATATGAGCGGCGCTAGACCTAAAATAAAATCTAAAAAAAGAAACAGCTTGAAAGAAATCACAGCTGATAGCCCCACTGGAATTGTACGAAGAAGCCACGGTGTTAGCGCACGTGTGCGCCACTGCTCAAGACAGACATCGACCTCCGCATCCTTACGCAAACATCGCTTTATATTGCGTATCACTGCTTTTTCATTTGTCGGCACACAGCCTGACTGTGAGGTTAGCGGTTCTAATGCATTTTGATTGTTTTGCGAAATCAACAACTTAAAGGGTGAGTTCACCCAAAAATGAAAATTCTGTCAGTATTTACTCACCCTCATGTCGTTCCAACCCCGTAAGACCTTCGTTCATCTTCGCAACACAAATTAAGATATTTAAGATATTAAGATCACTACTAGTCCATAGGCTTCTTGAGGGAATGACTTGCTGTCCTCGAAAAGTAATTAAAGACATTGTTAAAATAGTCCCAGTGACTACAGGGGCTCAATCTTAAGTTTATCAAACGACGAGAATACTTTTGTGCGCAAAAAAACAACAAAAAAACACAACTTTATTTCAACTATTCGTTTATTTCTCCCTCTGCGCGAGTCAGGTTACTAGTTTAATAGCGTAAGCTTCTGTTATTGTACGTCACACGCATCACACACATGACCAGCGTATAGTGAGCCTACGTGTGACGTAGCTTTACGCAATCACACTACGTTAACTGACTACAGGCCCATAGAGAAGGAAGTGAATAGTTGAAATAAAGTCGTTATTTTTTTTGTTTTTGCGCACAAAAAGTATTCTCGTCGTTTGATAAAGTTAAAATTGAGCCACTGTAGTCACTTGGACTATTTTAACGATGTCTTTAATGACTTTTCAATGCCAGCAAGAGTCATTCCCTCAAGAAGCCTATGGACTAGTATGCAGGAGCGATCCTAATATCTTAAATATCTTAATTTGTGTTCCGTTTCATTTTTGGGTGAACTACCCCTTTAAGGCCTTGAATGCTAAACACATTTCTTTTATTGACAACATACTTAAACTTACTTGCACCCGCTATCTTGCAGGGTCACTTCTTCCAAATCTGGATAGATTGGCAGGCGAGTTCTAGCACTGTTTTTACGGGAGTCAAATAGAACCCGCGAGTATTCCTCGCCTGGATAAAGTGAGACAGAATCATCACCCTGACAGTCAAAGTTTGGTTCAAACTCAGAGACGCCAAAGCAACCTTGTTGTGAACACTACACCAACACTCCTTGGCCTCCAAACGATCATCCCAACTCTCCGTATTCTCCAAACATGGCGATCGCCGCTTCTGGATTAGCACCCAAAGACTGGACTGGACCACTGCCCTGCCGAACACACACTCCACGACGCTCGAGTGCGTAACAATAGAGCTGCCGGCGGCGCACACATGCATCGGGTTGAAGAGATCCAGCCTAAGGTGGACAATTGTGAGTACTATTCAGGTATCAAAGCTAAATATGTGCTAAAAACCTTCCCTTAGTTTTCGACAAGAATTACCAAAGTGCGCTAATGTGAGTCACTTAGATTCTTCTTGCGAAAATTTGACATGATTGTGTTCTAGAAGCACAGCGAAGAGCTGAAGAACTAAGGGAATGACCAGCCCGTTCTAATCCCAAGGCGTCATAGACTGAAGCTTTTGACATTTTGTCTACACCCAACGCACATGGCACCCTTTAGCGTCAATATGAGACGCAGATATATATGGGCCAGAAGGCGCCTCCTAGTGGTCTACCCCTAAACCTACCCCAGAACTAAACCTACCATAACCGAACAAAGCTCTGTGCATGTTATATTGACGCTACAGGGTGCCATGTGCGTTGGATTTAGACAAAATTTCAAAAGAGTCACTATATGACACCCTAGGATGAGAACGCGTTGGAATGACGCATACGACTGCATTTATATGCAAATTTAAAGTTGTACATCACGTTAATTACAAAACATGCCATTAATCATTAATAATCATTTTATTCTATTGACAGCATTAAGCTACAATTGAAAACATAATTTTGTATAAAGAGCTTACATGGCTTTCCTTTTTTGAAGTGATGAATGAAGTTCAAGGTTGAGATGGTCAATTATTATGCATATAGCAAATCTCCTTTATAAAAATGGTCATTTTCAAAGCGTTTATATCCAGAAGGAACGATCTTGGGAGATTTATTTTTAGGGATGCACAATATATCAGCCACGATCTCAGTATCAGCAGATATAAGTTATAAGTTTATAATGTTATTGTTATGGGGCCTGATAAGAAAATTTGGTGGATATATTAAAGTGGATAATTAAATAGTGGATTATTAAATCTGAGACACTTTAGATTGCCATGAAGGTTTTGAATTGCTTGCAATGTTATTGGAATCCTTTTAAAAAAAAATTAAGTTGAGTGCAATGTACAGTACAATGTACAGTGCAATAGACAGCATAAATGTATGTGCGTTCACCACATCATATTTTTTTCTGTGCTGGCGCAGAGTCATGCAATCGCCCTGAATCTGACTCAGTCCTTTAATTTGCAACTTAAGTCAGACATCTAGAAAAGCAAACTGATTCCTTAAAGGCATAAGAATAGTAAAGACAAAGTAACATAATACATTTGATGTCATACCTGCAATTAGGGAGGGAAATAAGGAGCTTACCCGGTATTAATCAAATTATATTGGCTACATCAGAATCTATAGTCAAAAAGTTTAAATGCTTTTTGTTTAGTATTTTTACCAAAGGTGTATAAGGATTTAGAACAGGAACTAGAATCTGAGATTGATTTGGCAAAGATATCTTGAGGTATTTGAAGGAAGCAAGAGGTAATCTGATCAGTACATCAGTATTACTATACACCAGTAAAGCTTCATAAAACTTTTTATTTTTTCTTACACAATAAGAAATGCAGGAAGTGTAAACAACAATCTGCCACATATATCGATGCTCTGGGAATTACCAAAGGTTTGTTCCTTATGGGAAATGGTGTTGAAATATCTTTGTGAGAGACCTCCTACATTCACCAAGGGTGTGTGTCTTTAAGGAAATAAAAGATTCTTCAGGTTAATAACAAGACTTCTTCCTGGTTTACTGTAGGTTACTGTTCTGGAAAGATATACAATATCCTACAATTAGAATGTGGTTTGAATCAAGGATTGAGAGTGCTTCATATTAGGAAAAATGTTGGTCTGGAAATGTTGGTCTGAAAAAAGGACTGAATATATAAATCACACAAATTTCACTCAAAATATATGGTAAAATATATTAAAATGTAATTTATTCATGTGTTGGTATTGATAAAGCTGCATTTTCAGCATCATTACTCCAGTTTTCAGTGTCACAGATCCTTCATTTACATTAATGTATTTGGCAGATGCTTTTAACCAAAGCGACTAACATTGCATTTTCAAGGTACACATTTACATTCTCATCAGTCCTTGCTGTCCCTGGGAATCAAACCCATGAACTTGGCATTGCAAGTGGCAAAGCTATACTGTTTGAGCTACAGGAATAAAACCATCCTAATATACGTATATATATATATATATATATATATATATATATACCTTGTTAATTTTATTTTACATTATTAATAATGTAAAAGTCTTTCCTGTCCCTTTTTATCAATATATTGCATCCTTGTTAAATATATTTCTTTAAAAAAATAACTGCACCAAACTTTTGAATGGTTTTGAACTTTTAACAATAGTGTACATTCAAGAACTTTGCAAAAAAAAGGCAAAAAACGTAAGTGAGCTCTCGATAAATTCATTTATTTAATTTTTTTTGCACAATGAATGACATGAACAAGATCAACTGTATTTTAAGTGCTCAATACTGTTCACCGGAGATGGCTGCACAAAATGAGCTTTACAGTAAGAAAAAGAAATAAAAAAATAAAACTACAAGATCATGAACGGCAAACATGACCAAATACATGCAAGCTTATATGTATGTACATATGTACAGGGTAGTACTTGTATTTATAAACATGTCTGTATACACAGTTACACAAAACATGAATGTGTATACATACATTATATGTACAATGCATATGTTTGTGTATATCAGTTTTTATTCTTCTCTATATACGTCCATTATTTGCTGTTTTTAATATCCATACAATGTACAAAATGCTTTATGAATTTAAAATCCATTACAAAAAAAAAAACATATCAAACAATGTATAAGATCATCATCTTGACTTTTTTTTTTAAAATTGATATGCATACAATGTAATAGAGCATGCAGAGAGAAATCAAATGATCAAAATGGTCATAACACCATATGCATGAATTCAAATTTAGAGAGCGATAAGAGCTTCTGTTGCGTCCTTGTTAGGAATATCACTTTCGGTTAACACTTCATTTGTATTATAACTTCATTAATAGCAATACAAACTAAAAATACTATAGTACATTTGAGCGGATGACATTCTCTCGGTGACCTCGGAAACATTTACTCGACAAAGTCGCTATTGACGTTTAGGAGCAGGAACATAAAAAAATACACTTAACTTCACAAGGCACCAATTATCAGCTGGTGGAGAAAATATATCTGGCATTTTAAAACCGAAGCCGAGCATATTTGAGCTGCCAGGCCTTGTTACCAAAGCCACGTTTGATTAACCTATTATAATCATCTACAATGTTTCAGAAAACTGCTACGGTGTACATTTTGTTTTAACAGCGTTCGGTGCCTAAAGCACTAATAAATGGTCAACATTTTTGGCAATGTTCGCAGGTGTTTAGCGGAACACATCCTACAAAAAGTCCAGTACAACTGGCTGAGGCAAATAGCTGCCGGCATATATTATTTCTTTGAGCTTTAATGCACTGCAAGTTATCACGAGGACAGACTAGTTCATAACACCACATGGCATGTTAAGCCACTACATGCGTCCTGCTTTGGACAACTGTGAGTGCAACATATCGACATGATTCTTAGGCATGATTCACGCAGCTATACAGCAAGGTCGACTATTTACAGGGGACAATTTGTTGAATTCAATTTTTGATTAAGGCTGCACTGCTTAGAGGCTGATTTTTCTCCTCTAGACAATGACTAGAATTGCAAAAGAAATGATAGTCAGTTTTAGCACTATTCTTTTGAACGGTTCAGATTTCAATTTTGTTTTTTTTTCAGTAAGACCACTTCATTAAACAGAAAGCTTACAAAAGATTAAATGCTAAAAGTGGATTCACAGCAATAACCTGATGCATAGTAAATAAGCATGTATTCATTTTTTTTAAAAAAACCCTGCGTGGGTTTGGTTATAGAGATATTTTGAGTGTCTTTAGGCGTACTAGATGTGCTACCTGGTCACTGAACTGTATATATGTATATAAATGTATGTATATAGACAGAATGAAGCCTACTATACTGAACACATTACACAACCAGGGCAGCAAACTCTATTATGTACATTCTAGACTGATATCTTGACATCAGTACCTGAACATGTTATGGATTTATAGACAAACATAAGGCACATATATGTTAAAACTAAGAAATCGATATAACAAATGGAAAGCTATTCAAATTAGGACCACATTCAAATCTATTCTGTCACTTACGTATATCAGTGTAACTTGTTTCTAAAACCGCGTAGGACATATATTTGATTCATTTTTGACCATCACCTATATAGTCTTCAGTGTACATTCTGTTTTGTATTTTTTCCAATCCAAATGACAGACTAAACGAAAAATAAGCACGCCACAACACCATTCAGAGGAATATACACAAGCAGCTAAACTGAAACCAATCTATCCTATGACGGACAACTACACTGAAACTTTGGTCATGGAGATATCTAATACTGACAGGTATATAGACGTACTATTTTTTAGTTAACAAGAGCAGGCACATTCTCAAAGAGTCTCTGGAGAAGGCGTCTCATTCGAATAAGAACTTGTTTTCCAGTCAGATCATGAACATATCACTATTATTTAAAGCAAAAAACCAACACTGCCACTAAAACTTCAGCCCACTCAAACTTGTTCTACGAAACAGAAAGAAAAGAAATAAGTGCTTTGTTGGTTTTAAATGCAACCGTAGCATTTTTCCATCAAGCCTGTAGTGAACTACTGGGATGCGTTTTGATGTCCTGTGTCTTCAACAAGCCTTCGATCTGCAGTGATTCCACTTCGTTAAGATTACACGACTAAATATGTTTCTCCATTTGAACAAAACTTTCTACTTCTATTTGGTTAAAAACGGAACAAAAACATTTCAAACCTTATATGGTTTTGATTTGATATGCTGACAGTATAGGTAGATCTAAAATACTTTGAATTTGAAACGTTAGTAGAATATGATGCTATGTACAGTGAAACGATAGCCGTCAAAACATCACTGAAAAGGGTTTCATCATCCGAAAGTATTGCCATTAGTTCATGCCTGAAACACACCTGAGCGCAGGCAAGCGTATGTAAGCGTGTGTTAACGGTGAGTTACCAGTGAAATCAACCTCTGCCAGAAGATCTGTGCTTTGTGCTTGAGCGAAATAAAAAACAAGAAAGGAAAAAAGTGCACAGTACTGTCATTGAAGTTCATTTACATGTGCTGGTAGATTATGGCTAAAGCCATATTTTCAACATCCTCATGGTTATGGGCTTTGGGAAAGTAAAAGTTCAGTTTGTCTCCTTGAGACCAATAATAAAGTATGTGATAGAATTGTACACACTGAAAAAAGCAGAGCTCTTTAGACCACAACCATGATCCGAATTCTCAGCGAATGCCCATTGAAATGTGTCAGTCAGTAGAATTCAGATCAAAACAAACCGAAGAAACGATACAAAGACCCAAGCACAAGGCTAACTCACAGTGCACTGTCATAACCTCGCTAATGAGAGGAGAGAGTGGCTGCTTCTTTCCTGTAGCCTCTTCCTCTGCGGTTTGGACGCTCCATTTGGAGCTCCGGCTGAACTTTGTGCCAGTGCTTGCCTCCCTGCGTGGATTGCGGGTTGGTTTGGGATCTGGCCATGTGTACCACTGACTCAATGGCGTCTGTGATGGAGTCATGGTTGGAGAACTCAAGCTGAGCAGGCACCAGACCGGTGTGAAGGTTCCTCTTCCCAGGAAGGTCCACACACTTTTCAAGAACTGGCATCTGACCCAGCAATCCCTCCTCGAGAGAAAGCGGCTGCTTCCTTGGCCTCCCTCGGCGCCTCTTCACCATGTTGTTCCCTGTCTTGGCCTGCCTCTGAAGTCTCTTGACTTTTAGAATCTTGTTGACGTGATCCAGGTTTTTCTTGGTGGTGAGGATCTTGGAGAAGGCACACATTTTTCGCATGTCGCACTGGATGTCTTGCACTTCGTTGCCCTTGTACCTCCTCTTGTATGAACTGTGGTCTGGAGGTGAAAGGACAAGAAACAAAACAAATCAATGAAAATGACAAGCAACAGCTTATTCACAACCAGTTCCAAAAAAAAAAAAAATCATAATTAAATGACATTTGTTAATGTTTCTCATTTCCGCGACGAGTTCTAAAATACTATGACCGAGTTTCCTACACTACACCGCTACGGAATCAACTGAAAAATATACAGCACAACCAATTTGAATTTAATTAAGAGTAGTATCGATTGGTTTTTCATTTGACAATGTGTAGTTAAACATACATCATTTTTTGCCAGTATTTCTTATGATACCACTTTTTTTGGTGTAGTATTTGATTTAATATATAGTTGAGGCCAATTATGTGTTTGCATTTACACCACCCGTCTTTTAAAAAATACCTTTTGCAAGAATACTTTTAAAGGGTTAGTTCACCCAAAAATGAAATTAAGTCATTAATTACTAGGGCTGGGTAATAAATATCGATTTCTCGATATTAATCGATTCTCATTTTTACAAACTGATATCGATTCTTAAATCTCAAGAATCGATTAGTCATCCTGTTTCATTTTATGAATGAGACATTGTATCGCGGCTGCGCGCATCCAACAAATCGCAATAATCCTTTGTTACTATTGATATGACACAAAGTCTCAATTTTCAAATTACGTCCATTTTCTTTAGAAACTCAAAAACATAAATAGCGTTTTGCCGTTTTGGCGCTGTGGCGTGAGATCGCTCTGGCGCAGCTCAAGAGAAGCAGCAGCGCTGATCTCTCTTCCGGCTTAATAATACCCGTCACAGCGCGAAATAAACATGAACGAGCATCTGAAAGTGTGTTAAAAGATAGAGTACAACTTATCTAAATCCCTATCATGTCACATTGATTCGCTCAATCAGCGTTTCAACCGTGGAAAGACGTCAATTAAACAGCTTGTAATCAATGTCATATCGTCACATTTACCTCAGAAAACCCACATAAACTCGTTAGTCCACACTCGTTAGTATTATTCAATATTTAATGCATATTTGAATAAATATGGCAAGTTTTTATGACAGCCACCATTTAAATGTTTATATTTCATATAATCTTCTTATTATAAAAATAAATAAAAAAGTAATTTAAGTGTTTTGTATAGCTACAAAACAGTTAATTATTACCTTCATATTAGGCTAATGACGCCTAGTAGGCTACAACTAGACTATATATATATATATAGACCATAGTTTACAGCATTTAAGAGATTTGATTTCCTTGAGAAAAATTACCATTTATTGTAACTGATATCCAAAATAATCGATGTTGAATCGAATCAAAATCAAATCGAATTGCAAGCTTGTGAATCGAAATCGAATCGAATTGTGAAATTTGTCTCAATACCCAGCCCTATTAATTACTCACCCCAATTCTGTACCATCCCCGTAAGACCTTCGTTTGACTTCGAAACACAAATGAAGATATTTTTTATTAAATTTGAGAGCTGGATCATGACCACATAGGCACCCTAAGGGACTGAAACTTGACGGGCCATAAAGTAATTGAAGAAAATGTTTAAATATTCCAAGTGACAACAGTGGCTCAAGTATAAGTTTATCAAGCGACGAGAATACTTTTTGTGCGAAAAAAACAAACAAAAATAACGACTTTATTTGACTATTCCTTTTCTTCCTTGTGGGCCTGAGACGAGACTTCAAGAGATCATGAGCGCATGGGCCGTGGAAATCTCTCGTTTCAAGCCCACAAGGCAGAAAAGGAATAGTCGAATAAAGTCGTTGTTTTTTTCGCACAAAAAGTATTATCGTCGCTTGATAAACTTATAGTTGAGCCACTGCAGTCACATGGAATATTTAAACATTTTCTTCATTGACTTTCTGGGCTGTCAAGTTTCAATCCCTTAGGCAGTCTATGTGGTAGTGATCCAGCTCTCAAATTTAATAAAAAAAATATCTTCATTTCTGTTCCGAAGATGAACGAAGGTCTTACGGGGTTGGTACAGCATGGGGGTGAGTACATACTTAATTTTAATTTTTGGGTGAATTAACCCTTTAAAATCAATTATTATTGAAATTATCTTATCATTTGGCAATAGAATTGCATTTATTTAATCTAAATATTTATTCCCTAAAAGTACTAAAATAATCATCAATGAAACCATCAAGCAACTGGAATCAATCAGAGGAATCAGAACTGGAATCATTACATTCTTTACGGTTCCCATCCCTAGCTATGAGACACTGATTGTGAAAAATGTGCGAGGCCAGTCTGGTAAACATTTGGCCAGTCGTTTGTTATAAAATAATTCAATTGCACATCATCTCGCTAGCTGAAGCAGTGATATTTATAAAGTAAACTTGAGGCCGCTGAGCGAGTCATGACGTATGCAGCCAGACTGAGAGAGATAAACTTTCTTCTGTGCTTAATGATGTGACAATCCAATGTGTCAACATCCTAATTTGTATTAGCCGGTGTATAAATATCCCTGCATATACAGATCTGATAGCAATTGATACAGCCAAGCAGTTTATCATTATCAGCTGTCAGTCTAACAGAGTGAAGCGTTAATAAGCGAACACGGGAAAAATGCCCCATGAGAGGAGAGGACTGTGAAGCAACAGCTCACTTAACACATGACATGTGGATAACTGCATCCATGCACATAATAAGGAAACATCGGGAACCTCCCACTTATCAGTCAATCAGTGAACATAGCGTGTTCACATTCACAATGAATAGATGCGTCTGTAAATGTGAGTAATAAACTATGAGGCTTCAGATACATTTGTGATTAATTTACTGCATCTACACTTCACGTTGGAGCTTTGGAAGGAAGCCCAGACCAGAGGAAATGCTGGGTTTCTGGCAGCCTTGTTTGAAATGAGTTCAGACAGCCTAAAGCTGCCTAAAATGTGTGTTCCACATCTAAGATCTCTCCTGCACACTTTTCATATCTCTGGAGAGGTCTCTTTTTCTCTTTTATTGTTGACTGCCACTCCATCTGGTAGGTTTCCATGAAAACAAACAAGAGCTATAATTGTGGAAGATGTTTGAGATCAGGGCGCTCTATGCCTATGCATTTCCAGGTTAAGAGTGCACCTGTGCAAACCCAAAAACAGGATACACTCGTTCCAAATTCTTAATCCAGCTTCGAATCTTCTCATTATAGCATTAAAATGCAATGTTAAATCAAATGACAACCACAATCTCTAAATAATCAACAGGGCTATTTTGGATGCGAGTTGGAACAAAACAAAACTGCAAAAAAAAAAAAAATGTGCATGGGTCACTAACCAGCTGTGCATGGGCTCCTTCAGCCCATTTGGTTTCAATAAAGTAAAATGTGTGCCTGACTAAACATGAGCCCTTCCTTTTCTGGCCTCAGTTTATCACTGGGAAACTTGCAGAGTCTTCCCAAGTGCCAACAAATCATTGGACAGAGACATTCATTTTCAAAGGGAGTGTCACAACTCATTTATTCCCTGAAATCTCTACCTGCATCCTGTGCACAATGTTTTCATTAGTGGCAGCAATTTATGGACTTGCCTCGCCGCTGTCCCCACAGCTCCGCTCTACACGGTAGTGGAGGCCTACTTCCTGTTGCCATGGCAACCAAATTCCACAGTTCAAAGGTAAATGAATATTTTTTTTTTTTTAAATACAGTGGTGTAAGATCACATTTTTGCCCTGCCAATTCTCTAGTCGATTGTCAAGGCAAGCTACTCATTTAGTACACAAAACCCTTGTTAAGCAAATGTGGGCTTTCTTTCTTGCAGTGTAAAGAAAGATGAAACTATACCAGTACAATCAAATGGTGTAATTCCTGTTCTAGAAAATTAGTGGCATTAGGTTTTACATTAATGAGGGTTTAAAGAGCTGAAAGATCTATACTTTGAAAAGCCTGTGAAAAGGTGATATTTCTAATGGATACATTTATTTAGTCCTTTATATAATCTTATTCTTTGTGAGATAGTTCAGATAGACAGATGTTAGACAAAATTTAATTGGGACTTAATAAAGTCAGGCAACATGATATAATCATTTTACGTTTAAAATATGGAAAAACAATCTCCAAACTAGACACTCCCATCACAATGATTAATAGCCTTATTATCAAAAAGGTGCTGTCGTCATGCCATGATTCCATAGCAAATATAACCAATTAATCGTAAATGAGATGTGACCTTAAATGTAAATTTGAGCATATTAAAGCCTCATTTTGCTGCTTTTATTGCATGATGCCACTAGCAGTGCCATAAAAAGGCAATTCTGTCAAAACATGCTTATCTAAATCTGCGCTTTGAAATCAACACAGATGTACACTTAGGTGGGATGTATGTCATATTTCTGTTTAAGTACAACAAACTAGCTCTTTGAAGCATCGAGTAAATTCATGGAGGTGGGTGGTAGCAGGCAGAATGTGAGTCATCCTCATAGTTCCCCTAGGGGAGTGAAAATGTAATCTAACTGTGCCTTGGGCTTGCAATTCCCCTTCAGTGGAGTAGACTGGATTCATTAAACCTCTGGCTTCTCTCCAGCTCTTTTAACAAGAGGCAAGGTTTTTTATTGCATGTCTGTAGAATATAAATCAAAACGTGTGAATAATATATCTCTAAGAAAAAAACATTGGCAGGCAGGGGCGAAAAGGGAGGAAAGAGAAATTTGTGAATTATAGTTGTCTCCATCCATGCATTGCACTTTGCTTGCCAGATGTACTGAGAACAGAATACAAAGTGTTCAGAAAGCACATTTGTTTCTCTAGATTTTGTTCCTAATAGAACATGATTTAACTTGTATCCAACTAATCACTGCTTGGTAAAGCAAAATAATGTTAATTTATAAAAAAATAAACAACTGCATCAATATTTCTGAATGCATTTCATAAAGACAGATTTATTTTTACCTGCTACAGATGTGTTGGACTGGTACATCTGCTCGGCCCTCTCTTCTCTACCTCCTTGGAAAGATGCCATGTTTCCTCCCCTGTATGCAGCAAAGTTCTCCAAGCTATGCCTCCTGATTTGAACGCTAGAATCATCATCCTCTAAGTGCTGTCCCTTGAAGGAGTCCAGTGTCTGGTCCTGGCTGGCTCGCAGGCGCTCATGTGGTTGTCTAGTGCAGATGTTAAGGAAGTTGTTTAGAGTCTCTCCTCGAGTGCGTTTACAATGCTGAGAGTCAGATAAGGATAATGATGAGAGAGTGTCTACTTCAAAGTAGTTCCTGGAAGCTTTTGGCGAAGCATCTGTGCTTTGCTTGCCTCTTTGCTTGTCCTTCAGTTTGGACAGAGAGTTATTCTCGAGTCTCTCGTTCAAGAGGCTGAGAAAGGCAGGACTCTGGGTTCCACTGAAGAGCCCACCGATATCCTCCCTCTGTTGGATGTACTGATCCTCTTTAAGTTTGTACTTGTGCTTGTGCTTGCGTTTGTGGAGACAGACACTTCCCAAACAGCTGCTCGAAGGGTTATGGGAGTCGCTCATTCTAGATGAAGGCATCTCATGTGGCATATTCTTTGCTCGATGTCTGCTAGGAGCAGTGAGACTGGAGGATGCACCAGGGTGGAACTTTGGTGGAGGGACTGGTGGCCTCATGATAGGAGAGGCAGAAGGTCCAAGCGCATGAGATAAGTAAAAGGGAGAAGGGTACTGACCATAATAGCCCATGTTTATCATACTTGTGGCAAGAGGCATGGATGTGTAAGGCATCGCGTAGGGTGCATAGTAATTGCCACCAGGCACTGGGCAGCCAAACCCTTGAATAAAAGGCATCTTTGATATTGGCTCGTTTGACTTGGCTGGCCGACCACGCCTCCTCTTTGACTTATCAGAGCTCCTGCGAAGATAGTGCACAGGGTCGTAGGGATAATATGGCATAGGGTAATAGTGGTCAAAGTTAAGACGGAAGATGCTGGGATAGGAATTCTCATGGTAGAATTTGTAGCTGCGGTGAGAGATTCGGAAGACCTGGAATTTGCTAACCAGCTCCTCGAGGTCAGCCATAAACTGCAGGTCGTCCTGGCTCTGGAGGGCCTTTCGCTTCCTCCTATGCTTCTGCTTCTTCAGGCTCTCTTGAGCAAAGAAATTTTCAACAGCGACCGCAGTGACACGCTTCTGGTAGTGCCCCCTCACTGCTTTGCTCTTTGCCTCAATAACAGCTGCCTCAGTGGCATCAAAACTGCAGAGATCAAATGAGTATCTCCGACGGGATGCCGGGCCTTTCTCGGCCTGGTCAGATGTACTGTTGTTGTCAGTGCCAATTCCACTATCACTAGGGATTGTCTCTTCACTGTGGGACTCACTTACTGGAGATAGGGTGACTTCTTTGATGGAAGCCACTTCAGACAGGTGGGATGGCGAGTTGGCCATTAGTCTTGGGGGTGACAGCTTCCAGTTACTACTGAGCAAGCCCTTATGCGCTTTCGTGGGCAATGCACTGATAGGCTGTAGATTTGGCATTGTCTTCAGGTCATGCTGGCTGGTATCTGTGGTGCCAGGGTGAGCTGTCCCACCTGCTGCAGAGTGAGAAGAGAGGGACTGCATGACCCTGGGAGAAGGCATTCCGGTCGTGGATGATGTATTAGAAGGCACTAGAGGGTTCTCGAAGGGACTTGAAATAGGCAACGAGTGCTTATCACTGGCTTTGTGCTCATTTTGCTGGGCTTGAAGATCAATTCTGGGCTTCCTTCCCCGTTTTTTGCCTATGTAAATAGTCCCACGCTTGCTGACATTGATTTGCTTGCCAAAACGGGCCTCGATTGTCGATGCCACGGTCGTCATGGCATTTGAAACTGGAACATTGGACTTCAAGGCAAGATTGCCAGGATTAGAAGTGGACAAAAGTTCATTCAAAATGCTCTGCATCTTGACCAGTTTCATTTTCTTATTTGCCCTCTTTTTAAGGACACCTTCTTGACCTGATTTCTTGAGTTTTAACTGTTGTGCAGGAGGGGATTTGTTCAAGGCCAACTGCACTAATTTTGACATATTATGCTTCCTCCTTCTTTTTGAAGTGCTCAATGAATTTTGAGTGATAGGGCTAACTGGGCTTGTTGCGCTTCCTTCGTGAATTGTCTCCACAGTAAGCAACGGCTGTTTCTTGGGGCGTCCACGTTTCTTTTTCACTGGAGTAATCACTGTCAAACTGTTTGTGTTTGTGTAGAGTGGGCTGGATGGGGTAATAGGGAAGGCAGAGGGTGGATCTTCAATGGACAAAGATTGATTCACGTCTTTATGAGGAGAGGAGTTCTGGGACTTTAAATAAGACCACCTGTCCTTGACCTTTGATAGCCTACCCTCTGTTTGCTTGTCGGCATCAGTCATTGATCTTGGTCTCCCAGCTAGTGTTTTCCTCTGTCTATTCTGAAACATCTCAACATCATCAGTCATTGTCCCAGCACTGTCTTCCTCGCTCTCTCGTGAATTCACACCGAATTGTTTTGGTGCAATGAAATCTATTTTCTTTGACATTTTAGGTTTTGTGCTCCCTTGGTCTGTTTTATCAGTCTTCTCAACTTGCTGTGTGGTTTGTGAATCAGATAAGTTATCTTCAACTACTTTTCTATTTTTTCGCTTTTTACTCATAGATTCATCTGCGTGAAGGGTGCCACAGCTTGATGTGGTCTTACTCTCATCTGTCCTATTGCTTGACTTCTCAGGCTCCTCAGTTTCAAATTCATTTTTATCAGTTTTGTATGGTTGTCTTTCCTTAGTACTTCCTAGGTTTTCAGTATCTCTGTCCATCTTTTTGACCCATTGAAGGGCTAAATGATGTGTGGTTGTGGCCTTCATTGGGTCTTTCCTACCATATTTACGTTTGATGTTCCCAAAAACCTGCTCGGTGACTACCTGCAAGCCTTTGTCTTTGCTAAAAGAGAACAGACTTGAGTCAGCTGGGGTATTCATTAATGTATCAACTGGAGATGATGCTAGTGTGTCAGTGCTTGGGGAAGACATGGCAGATGCAAAGAGACCTCCAGATGAATTGTTTGTGCCCTTTTTAACTTGCGCTTTTGGAAATGATGTGTTGGGTTCTGACAAAGGGTTCTTGTTGGTGCATGCTAGTTCTCTTTTTGATTCTTGTTCTGGCCTGCGTTGCTCTTGGTACACTCCATCTCCAACAGTATCCAACGTCTTTGTCCAGTCAAGGTGGTGAATGTCGTTGCTTTTAGACTCATGCTTTGGTTTTGTGCTCTCCATCATCACGTTGTCAGTTTTATTCACAAGTTTATAAGGCCTCTCGTAGGTCTGAAAATTAAAAACAAAAGGGAGAATTTAGAAAATAGACCAATGTTATGTCAAGATAATAATATTAAATATTTGAAGAGTAAACCTACACATGCTTTTCATTCTCTTACACAAGGTAGATTGACAGAGAAACATTCACACCTCATATGTATATATATAAAAAACCTAAATAGGAACCTACATGTTGTTACTGATAACAACTACTGTTTTGCTGCCAAGTTCTCAGCTTGTGGGCCACACCTACTGAAAGCATATAATACTGTGTACAATTGTGCAAGCCTTTGAGACTTGTGGTTTGGTCTGTTAGAAATAACGTATTGCAAGATCAGCACTTGATACTAGGATATGTTCTGTAAAGCCATCCTGTTTTCAAAGCCAACAGCTACAGGCGGTAATGAAGTTTAACCACAGTTTTGTTTTTCAGCAGGTCAACTTCCATTTCAGAGCTCTGCAGCTGAGGCTAAGACAGTCTATGCTGCGGTTTCAGATTAGTTTACATCTGGGGTCCCAGTGTTTTCAACATGCTCATAACAGGAAAGACACAAGAGACTAAATGCAAAATGTAACTTTAGAAAATAGAAATTGTACATACTTAAGTTACTGCATAAAATAAATTAAGAAAAAAATAACAACAAAAGAACCAATTGAGTATCATCGTACAAAGAGTATTTAATTGTTTAAAGCTTAAAGAGCTTTAAAGAAAGTGGTAGGAATATGTTATGTTACTTTGGCACTGACAGGTCTGATTGCATCAGTAAAAGATGATTTAGTCTCCTGGAGTCTGGTTTGTTTTTAGTCACAGAATTTCTGACATAAACTAAAGAAATGCATGGAAAGACAAATGTGGTAAAAGAGTTTAGAAGAGTATAAATAAGTGCCCTTGAAAGATGACATCCTGGAGTTATGAAAGGCTTGTCTTAAAACAACAGTGAAAGTGAGCTGAACTGAGCTGAACTATAAAGAAGCCAAAGAAAAAGCACATTGTAAAGCTCACAACTGCATCTCTTATTTGACGCAAAACCTTAGTCACTTTAGGTATAACTGACTAATGGCTTTTTTTACCATTTCTTACTAACTAGCTAGAAAGGGTACTTGCCTCTGAAAAATCGCTACCACAGTACAAGGTTCTGTGGTTCGTTTTCTAAACCATTTCTAAAGGTGTTTTGATGTACTACTAATTGTTTAGGTTAGTTAGTGCAAACCCATTGAGTCTGGCGATTGGAGCTACTACCTGGCTTGCACCATTTCCCAGTCCAATTACTCTCTCTTTACCCCCTCATTTTCCTATTCTCCACTCTTTTATGAAGAGTTGTTCCAAAAATGACCAAAATAAAACCCAAATATTTAAAGTACAGATAGATAAGGAGGGAAGGAGAACAGCAGTTTGGTGGTATTTTAAATTTATTTCCCATAAAACCAATCTGAGAACCACAGGAGCTACCTTTGACAGGTTAAATGACCACAGACAATTATGGAGTCCACTGGAAAACTTAATAATGGTGACCTGCCAACCTTTCACACTATTTGGAAGAGGTTTTTTTTTTTTTTTTTTTTTGTAATCAGTCAAGAGTAATGCATCACTTAACTCCAAACCAGCTCCTGAAAGAGCCCAGTCAGGCAAGACTTTTATCTGCTGTGCACAGCCCTCACCTAAAATATCCTAGCATACTTTTGACTTGTATGTGTGCGTGTGTGTTTCAGGAGTCATCCCTCAGCCTAATCCTCTCCAATATCATTCAATCAGTAGTTTTTAATTAAAGGGAAGCAGACATTAATGAGGGATCACTCCTCTGCCAGCCTTGTCCTTTTTATTTCCCCCATCTGTGAGAAACTGCATCACCTTTCAGATTCCTAATCCTGTAATCCTATGAGGAATTTGCGGTCTCCCCCGGCCCACAGGATACAGTCTCCGCTGCTGAATGCCAAGTCTCCTGGCCGCCCTTTAATTTGCCTAAATGGCATTATAACCCCCCAAAAAAAAAAACTATATCTGAGGTATACGGTGTAACCATGCCATTGAGGATGCCAATGCTATTCTAAATACTCACTGGGAACCTCAATATCCGTCATCTTTATCGTTTGCCTGTCAAATTCCATTTCTTTCCCCAGAATAAAACACTTCATAATCTGACATGATTATGACACGTAAATAGAGTTCCCAGTTTCAAACGAGTGCGTCAAACCTACAATTCAAGTGAATTAAAATCAGAAAAATAAAATATATCTGACGATGGTGTTCAGCAGTCGTACGTTACAAAGTTGCCATTGCTCCGTGTAAATACACCACACCATATTGTGTCAATGTGTTGACAAGTGAGTCCCTCACCAGATAATAAAAATCTCTGCAGTCATAAATGACTTATGAGCCCTCTAATGAGCACTTCCTATCTGTTGTAAACAGAGCAGCAGTTCTGGCAGGACCACTGGGCAGTCTGGCGCAGTAGGCACCAAATCCTGGCGGACACCATTGCACTCAAAGCCCAGAACTGCAGGAGACGAGTCAGTCTCAGACCAGATAAACAGACAGGGAGAACGCAGCCGAGATTACAGAGTCTCTTGCATAATAATAAGCTAGGTTTGGCATCCTTGTGGAGCCCTCGATACCCCCCTTTTCCCTCTTCCATTTCTTGCTTGCTCCTGTTGTTCTCTTCATTTTTTCCCCCTCCATCACCGCCATGGTAATTGGCCAGCCAAAACCTCATTGGCCTCTTATGTGTTTGGTAACCATGGGATACTGTGAGTCAGAGCCACTGAAAATAGACAGAAATGCAGCGAGCCAAACATGCAACTTTGCCCGACTGATATCCGGCCAAACTCGCTCTACCCTCCACCAAATCCTCCCTGTCCTGATGCAAGAGCTCACTGTTTGCCTTTCAGACTGACAGATGAGCAGTCCACAAGTCTGATGCTGGATCAACACAGCTTGGCATGACTCTAGAAGTTTGGACACATCCAAACTTTGACAAATGATGCAATAACACTAAAACAGCTTGTAGAAGCAGAGCTGCTACACAAATTGCAACCGGCACACCACAACTGCAATATTGTGAAGGGGTCATTTCTTTCGTTCATGTCATCCCTGTAATCCCACAAGCTTTTATAGTTCGATTAACATGACAGCAGGTCAGCTTTGTTTTCGGACCAAACGGCAGTGCGCTAGCCACAGGGCTAATTGGTCAAATTACAGCCTTTGTAACATGGTCTCAGTAACACTTTCTGAATTGGTTAGTGAAAGCCAGCGCTGAGTTGTTAGACATCCCTCATGCCATGGTGGCCATGGGTAATGTGACACCCGATTGATGACAACACAAACCTGGATAGAGTGTCAATCACCTGATCTGGAAAATCTAGCTCTAGTTACAAGACTTGAGGCATCTTTAAATCCATCCCCGGACAGTCAAAATGCCCACTGGTTTGACACGGTGGATTACAAAGTAGAAAGGTCTAATATACAGTAGAGTAAATGCTGTGTGGAAACATCAGATGATGGTACGTTTTAAAATGATCCCATGTATTTGACTGACATACATGCATGTCACAAATGTAAAAGCTTTAATTAGAGCCTCATAAAAGCTTTGTAATTGTAATACAATTTTAATCAAGTCTCATGATGCATCAATAGGTCAAATATCACTTTGTCATTCATAATGCACTTTATACAAGCAGCCTGTATAGGTTTACAGTGGTTTTCCACTTATTGTCTCCATATGGGCACATAATGTAGTATTGAAGAATAATTTGCTGTTTCTTAGGCTTGAATATGATAAAACTCAATAAGTAACATGTGAAATTCTATTTTCTATCCCATTCTATTTTCACAATGATACATTTCTGAATTAAGGCCGCGCTCCTGCAGAGTTTATCTCCCTCCAACCCTCATTAACACACATGAAATCAGCTAATCAAGGTCTTCAGACTTACTAGAAACAAAGTCACTTGAAGGCAAGCCTGCAACCTTAGCCGGAAAAAGTGTAATGCTAGCTAACGCTGCGGTAAGCAGGAAAGGAGACAAGAGGCCTTTTTTTTAAATGAATGGATGTCAATGGAAGAGAGGCTTCACTTCGCTGAATAAACCGTTTTTGTGATCGCTTATTTAATTAATCATCGGTCTGTCCGCTAATCTTTCGACATATTTGCACCTCAAAATTCATTTTTAATTTATCTATTTTTAGAGCTTAAAACCGAAAAAAATGCAGTTTTGTAAGAGAAGTCATGGAAAATTGTGCAACAGGTATTATTCAGTTTATGGCACTTCTCATTTGTTTCTATAGTATCCCCAAACAGTGATTGACTGTCCCACGACTCTAAACAAAATTCAATGACGTCAAGGCTGCAATGTGATTGGTTATCAAGGCACTAGTGATCCAAGTTGAGCCATGGATCCTCGTATCTCCCAATAATAAGACCATCTCTGCTAGAAGCTTCAACCAGGCAAGTGTGTTCGAAAAAAAAAGGCGATTTACATTGTTACATACTAGAGATGGCTAAAAAATATTTGGCTAAACGGCTATTTGGCTATTGGCCTAATCCATCATGAGACCACACTATCTGTGACATCATGAGAAAAAAGTATTGTGATAAGTGATTATATTTTGAAAACAAATTGCGAATAGACACATTTTTTCATGAATCATTCACAAAACGACCAGGAACATGCATTAAGAAAATAAATATGGTAAATTTTGAGTTCATGTTGACTTTAAGGTCATACGGTATAGTACTGTCAAATTTATAATACAGGCATTTCACTGTACATAACATTTAAAAAAACTTAAAGGATTAGTTCACTTAAAAAAAAAAAAAAAAAAAAATTTTGCTGATAATTTACTCACCCCCATGTCATCCAAGATGTCCATGTCTTTCTTTCTTCAGTCGAAAAGAAACTAAGGTTTTTGATGAAAACATTCTAGGATTTTTCTCCATATAATTCAATGGACCCCAACCGTTTCAAGGTTCAAATGATAGTTTCATTGCAGCTTCAAAGGGCTTTAAATGACACC